TCAGCAGGTGCATTTGCCAGCAGAGATGTGTTTTTGAAGCAGACCTCTGATTCTGTCGGGGCTGGCTAAGACTGCCAACTTTGAGCTCACTTCCTTGGATGTGGTGCCATTAGCACAGAAATAACAAGCATTCAGAATAGAGAAGCCAGGCTTGAGTTAATTAAGCCAGCTTTGGGAATTTCCCTTCATTACAGATAGTCTTTGTGTGTTGCAGAACGCAGAGAAGTTTATAGAAAAATGTAAAATGGAAGGTGCCTGTTATATTACCACTGTTAAGTTCATTTCTTAAAAATAGCTTTTTCTTGTTCTTGGTGCATATAAAGAGTTTTTAAATTGAGTAATACATTCTTTTTTCCTCTCGATTTTCCCTGAATATTTTGCTGGTGATGACTTGGGTGAATAATGTATACTTAAACTAAGCTTTTGAGCGTGGATCACAAAGATAATGCTTTTATTCAAGAAAGCATCTGGTTTCCTGATATGGGTTATATGTCCACCCTTGCCACTTTGAACCCAGGGATGGCTTACTGGCCAGGCACAGTTACAGTCTTGGCTTCTCTGAGAAGAGGAGCTAACCAAACTGCCTCCTGCCATGAAGGGTTCCAGCAAGTTCTAACCTTTTGCTCAAAAATGAACAGAGGTAGAGGAAAGAAAGAACAGAAATAGAAATGGCGGTTTGAATTGTTTCTACAGTGAACTCAAAGGACTCGAGTATTTAGTTACTTTTAAGGGATCAAAAACTAAGTACTGGGAGACCACCAAGGGTAAGTGTGACCATAAGGCCAGCTGATAGCACGGGGAGGTTATTGGCACAGCTCAAGGCTCCCACGTCTCCTGCTTGCTGCCCCCAGCAGCCTGGCACCACTTACCTTCGTCCTGTGTGAGGAGAACCATGTTTGTTGGCACTGCCTTTCAGCACTCTGATGGCTAACTGGCGTCATCCACAGCAAGTGACTCAGTAGCACTGAGACCTGCTAAGTGAGGTAAATATTGATCATGGCAACTGTATTACAGCCATTATCGACCCACACTGGATAGCGGGATGTAAGTTCTGGACCATCATTTTAGGGCGAGTGTTGAGCTGTATAGAAATACCGTAGCAACCCGATTGCAACCCGAGAACTCTCAAAGGTAGGGCTCTGTTAGTCATGCATAACTGAAATATTACTGGAACATGATACGCCAGTTACATAACCCCAGCTAAAGTAGTTAATGCTGGTGGAGCTTGTCCTGTTTGCATTATGCATTATGTCAGCCAGGCTTCGGGAAGGCTCCCGTTTCATCGAGTCCAAGTGGCACACTTCCTATGTTTTAATGTCTACAAATCAAGACTCTTCTTGCCATCCATAGTCTGTCATTTTTTAACAGTGTGTTTTCTTTCTTAGTAGTGCCTAAAATAATACAGCTTGAACTGGATGGCATCTTAGAGTGCATAAAATATGTTCATCTCTATGTTCATTTTCAGGCTCCGGGCCCTGTTTGTAGCTACTCAGTTCTAGTAATTGGAAACATGAGTGTTCTCAAGAGGCTCGTTTATCAGTATTTAGCTGCAAATTTGTTTTCCAGCCTTAGATAGTTTTCTGTAATTTAGTCCGTTAGGAGAGAAGGAAGCTAAGAATCAGAAGTCCTGCCAGTATTTTATATATTAACATCATAAAGCAAAAATAACCACCCCGGGTATTAGTGTTTCTATCTGCATCAGAGTGAACTAAAAAAATAGTCTAGCTTATTCTTTTAAGTGTTGAACTGGTTGTTCTTCAGTTATTCTATAAATGCATGAGTGTACACACACACACACACACACACACAGAGAGAACCTCAATATAATCAAAGAGATTTCATTCATTGAATTTCTTTCTTTGTTTCTTTTTGCTATTGTTTTGTTTTTGTTTTTCAAGACAGGGTCTCTCTGTGTAGCCCTGAGTGTCCTGGAACTCACTCTGTAAACCAGGCTGGCTTTGAACTCAGAGATCTGCCTGCCTCTGCCTCCCAAGTGCTTGGGTTAAAGGCGTGCGCCACCATCATTCATATGCCACCCTGCTCATTTATCATTTCTTAAAGGGATTCAGTTCAAGCTTGTTGGTATGATTTTAAAAGTATTAAAAATCCATTAAGTAATACCAATGTGGTTATTTTCTGGCTGTGTTTTTTTTTTCTTATTGGCAGTGGGTTTGGGAAATGTTTGTTTCTTTGAGTTTTTGTTTGTTTTTTGTGTGTGATACTGAGGGGCAAACCTAGAGTCTTGTACATGCAATACAAGCATTCTACCATTTATTCAAACCCCTAGACCTTTTCGGTTTTTTTGTAATAGGGTCTCACTAATTTGCCTAGGCTGGGCTTGAACTTGTAGTCCTGCCTCAGGCTCTGAAATGGCTCAGATTACAAGCATACATCACAACAACTGGCCTGCCTAGGGTTCTTAAAGCTAGCCTCAAAACATAAGCTTAAAGTCTCAACTGTTTGAGAGGCTGAGGCAGGAGGATTGCAGAGTCTTTCTGGATACAGAGTGAATTCAAGGGTAGCCTGTGCGAATTATCAAGACTCTGACTTAAGTAGTAAGAAAGGGCTAGGAGAAGAGTGTGGCTCGGTGGTAGAGGGTTTGACTTGCACGTAGGAATCTCTGTTGAGTCCTCGGTACTGGAAAAGAAAAAAACATACATTTTAACTTGATAGTATGTTCTTTCCAACTTGATAAATGATTATCTGTCACTAGAAAACTTCAGTCTAATTATGAGTATTTCAAAGTACTTCACCCTCCAAAAAAAAATCACATTTTCCACTACATACTATTGTTAAAGTCTTTAAGCAGCTTGAAAGGTTTTGATTTAAAATTCCTATTTTTAATATTAAAAAGTTTTACATTTATTTTCTGTATGTATATATGTATATGTGTATGTACATATATTGTGTGTGTTTGTATGAGGGCCAAAGTGGATGCCAGAGGACAAGTTGGGGGAGTTAGTTTCTTCTTGGAGATATTTTATGAAGGATTTAATAATGCCTTTTTACTGTGGGATAATGCTCTTATACCCTGTAAAGATTTGTCACTTGTATTGGTTTAATAAAGTGCCTATTGGCCAGTAGCCAGGCAGGAACTATAGGCAGGGAGACCAGACTAGGAGAATTCTAGGAAGAGGAAATGAAGAGTCATTCACCAGACAGACACACAGGAAGCAAGATAAGAATGCCTCACTGATAAAAGACACCACACCAGGTGGCTAACATAGACAAAAATTATGGGTTAATTCAAATTGTAAGAGCTAGTTAATAATAAGCCCGAGCTAATAGGCCAAACAGTTTATAATTGTTATAAACCTCTGTGTGTTTCTTTGGAACTAAGAGGCTGCATGACCAGGCAGAACAGGAACTTCTGTCTATTCCTTTTATGAAAACAAATATTAGTTTTTGTCTTAAAATCTTTTAAAGTTTATGCAATGTTTTATACACACTAAAAATTCAACTTTAGTCTTTTATATAAAACTTCTGCTAAAAGAATAAAATAGAGTCATTGGCTTACATTCTTTTATGTAAGCATTCTTCCAGATATAATTAATTTAACCTCCCACTTATTTTTATCAAGCCACTAAGGTAGAGGAGAAAAATATCAGACTTAACTCTCGAGTCAGTTCTCCATACTCTATGATAATGTGAAACTACACAGATTGTCTTCTGGTTCTTCAGCTTTTATAATATATGAAAATATATATAAAAAAATGAGAAAATCATCCCCAAATGTAAACACATTTAAAAATGAATACAATAACATTTTCTATTTCCTTGGAGTTTTGTGTTTCTGTTTTTATTGTTTTAGCATAAAATGATAACTTCATTGTGGCACTTTTATACATACATTGTACATACAGTATACATACATTGTAAGTTGCTCTTATTTGCCCAGTCTCAATGCTATCTGCTGCCACTCCTCCTTGCTTCCACTGTCCTACTATTTAATCCTCTTTGGCTTTTATGCCATACACACACGTGTTTATATATGTCACACATACACATATAAAATACATATATATTGTATATTTTAATACATATACTGACAGGTACATTTATATGTACATAAGCATATGTATAATCTTATGTATGTAGGCATAATACTATATATATATAAACTTTAAAGGTTTTAACTTCACATTGCATAAGTTCACACATCAATACTGCATAGCAGGTGTGTGTATGTGTGTGTGTGTGTGTGTGTGTGTGTGTGTGTTATCATTGCCATGCTTCAGATCACATCAACCCATGGCCCTGTGAACACTAGGCAAGCTCTGCCCTGCTAAGCAGTGTCCCCAGCCTGCTGGACATCTTATGTTCAGTGACTGTGAAGTGCTTCCCTTTATGGTCCTGATTTGTTCAGCTATTCCCATTAGGTTGCTATGCAGTTGTTGTTGTAACAAGCGTCCAGCTGACAGCAGGGAGGCTCGGCTAGGAGAGAGGTACCTGACTGGTGTGGCAGTGACCGGCATCCATGTCAAGGAGACCCATTAGTGGGAGACTAAGGAAGAAAAGCTAACCTTAGTTCCCAGCTGTCGGAACGAAAGGGAAGAAGTGGCTATAAAAACTCCTACAAGCTTCAAGGATAAACCCTGCAAACTTAAGAGCCACAGGTAGCTATGCCCAGGACAGCTAACTGTGAGGTTCAGACTTTAAAAATCGAAACAAAATCCCCTCTGCTGGTGGTCGGACCTGCAGCCAACTTGAAAGGCATTTGTAAGCAAGCAGATGGTGACTTTGATTTAGGAGATTTGGTGGTAAGACAAACAGTGAGGATGGTGGGGGAAAGGGAGCTTGCTGGTGTTGACTTGCTCATGCTCACAAATGCCTCCTGCCAGCAAAATAAGACTTCCAGCGTAGAGCTTCAACCTAGAAGACAGTTTGTGTGGGTGCCCCGTCTTGTTAGGCCTGAAAACTATCGTTCAGGAAATACCCTTTGCTTTTCAGAATTTTCAAGGGTTTGGTTTATTCAAGAGAGGGAAAAAAATGTTTTTCAGGCAGCCTCTGATGAAGCTGAGTTGAATGGCCAAGAGGATGAGGACGGCGGTGGGAAGTCTGGGGCACAGGACGCGGAGCCAACATCAGCAGGTGTGTCTCATGCGAGTTTTCAGGTAAAGCTTGGTGACTTGTGAGGTAATGGTGCCAATTTTTCCTGCTAAACGGCAGGGGAATGTCCGGCTCTGTAGTTGTGCTGCCACCTAGAGGCGCTGGGGAGAAATTCTCACCATGGCATTAATGTTGCTATAAAAATAGGAACTCAGGCTTTGGAGATAGACAGACAGACAGACAGACAGACAGACACACACAGAGAGAGAGAGAGAGAGAGAGAGAGAGAGAGAGAGAGAGAGAGAGAGATTGATTCTGATATTCTCTAAAGGTATATCTGAACTGCCCTGGTCACTTTGTAGTCACTGTGATAAATATCAGATTTCACCTTAGAACTCCCAGATCCTTCCATCCTTCAAAGGGAGTCAGGGCAGGAGCTCAGGTCAGGACCATGGAGGAACACTGCTTGCCTGGAAGGCACTATAGAGGAAGGCGTGATGTCAGCCTCTAGTCTCCAGATGAGGACAGCAGCACACACAACAAGGGAAAGTTAGTCACCCCATCACAAGGACAGATGGGTCTATGGACATCCTGCCTTCTACCCCACTGTCATTAAATATTCTGTGTCACGTGTTACTCAGAATCATAACTCTGTTACAAACAGTCTTGGCTAGCAGGACAGTTTGCTGGGAACCCTGCTGTCCTGGCCCTTGGCCGCGCATCCTCGTGCAGTGACCCAGCTTGTCCTCAGGAGGGAGCACTCTGATGAAACGTTCCTGGTGACTGTGAAGGGAAATGATCCATTGTATGGTTTCCTTTTCCTCCTGCTCCCACCTATGACTTCCCTCCAGAGCCACAGCATTTTACAGCAACGGTGACTCGCTGCAGCCCCACCGTGGCCTTTGTGGAGTTCTCCCCCAGCACGCAGCTGAAGAACGAGGTGCCAGAAGAACGAAACCAGAAGAAGCCAGAAAATGAGATGAGTGGGAAGGTAGAGTTAGTGCTGTCACAGAAGGTGAGGACACAGCGGAGTGGAGAGTTCAATCCACAGGTTGACATGGCTTCTGGGGGTGGCCAGCAGTCACAAGGGCTGACGGTCTCACCCGATCGTTTATCCTGTCTTCAGTGCATGTTCATTGTTAAACATCACACACACACACATAACACACACACACACACACACACACACACACACACGTTATAAAGAGATGCCAAAACCAAGGCAACTTATAAATGAAAACATTTAATTGGGGGATTGCTTAGAGTTTCAGGGGATGAGTCCATTTTCATCAAGGTAAGAAGTGTGACATCAGACAGGCAGGCAGGGTGCCGGAGCAGTAGTTAAAAGCTAATATCTGATCCACAAGCAGAAAACAGAGGGAGACAAAAGACAGACAGACAGACAGACATAGAGAGAGACTGGGCCTACTATGCGCTTTTCAAACCTCAAAGCCCACCCCAAGTGATATCCCCTTCTTCAAAAAGGCCACAACTCCTGATCCTTCCCCAAACCATCCCACAGACGAAGGAAAAAGCATTGAAATATATGAGCCTACAGGAGACATTCTTATTCACACCACCACTGAATATGGAGAGAGAAGGGGAAATACAGATATTTGCATTATGAATATATCAAATGCCTTAGCACACACAAACACATTTGTTACATATACAGACAATAGGATGAGCGAGGGGTTCCAGGACAGGCTCCAAAGCTACAGAGAAACCTTGTCTCGAAAAACCAGGAGAAAAAACCACTTTCAAGGGTTCTCGGGTTATCTGTTTTGTTTGTTCTCTATCATAAACCTTTTGTCTATTTAGTAAACATGAGTCTCAGAATCATATTAAAGCATAAAGTATCCAGGATTCCCAGGTTTTTCTTGGTAGCAAATGCTACTAGATCCCCACCTTTAAAATTCTGTGCTGTTGACTGCAGGTTTGGAAGCTCTAGTGGTTGGTTAGCAAATGGAATAGCAGTTCCCCAACACACCCCATCTGTGGCCCTCTCCCCTCTCTCTCCGTCTTAGATAATGGTGATCACCATGCTTGCAACAGCTTTGATTTTCAGATTTCACTTGGGGAATGTCACCTTTGTAAAAGCAAAGCACCAGACTGGCATTTCTGCTATGTTTAATTCTTTCATTTGCAACCAGCTCTTCTCTGAACCTCCTTGTCAGTCTACACCATTCAAGAAGTAGTTTCTCTGAGCTTAAGGCTCGAGGGTTGTCAGGGCCAGGGAGGTGGCTCAGAGGTTAAGAGCTCGGTTCCTAGCACCTATATCAGGTGGGTCACAGACAGCCATGACTTCATCTCTAGGGAGACCCAATACCACTTTGTGGTACTTGTTACACTTACATTCACATACTATCATACACACACTCACAGAAAGAGACAGAGAGAAAGTTATAAGTAAAAATGAATATTTAGAAAAGTAAGACTAGCATGTTGTGAACTTTGATACAACCAGACCTTAAGTATTTGCTGTATGTTAAATGCTGAAGACTATACAGCTGTCTGGTTGACCACAGCAATGCTGACCAATGTGACTGATTCTATTTCCTTCAAGCTTCTCTTAGGATTGAATATAGTCTTAATAAAGAAAAATAAAATGCATCAGAGAAGGAGTAAATGTTGCCGAGCCAACAGCTACAAGTTAGAGTGAAGTCCTGTGAGAGGCAAAATGGACTAAACCCAAACAGCTGCCTTCCGCATTCAGATTCAGGAGTCTGTGACTCTTATCTTAGGCACTGTTGAAATACTTGGCATTCTGTCTCTGGCAGTAAATTGATTGGAAGCAGTAGGACAGCAAGATGGTGCTTTGACTCTAGAAGAGTCTTCAGACTTGGAGGAAACAAAATCAGATAGCAATGATATTTTAAAAATCTTAAAGCAAACACAAGAATTTTTAAAGCCTAAAAGCGCCTCAAAACTGTAAGGACCCCTGTGCTGGCACTAGCTGTTTTGGCAATGCATCTTTGTCATTGGGCAAAGTATACATGAGTTGCATAACTTTGTGAGAGAGTAGAGTACTGTCTTCAGAGTAATGTCCATTAAAAGTGGATTACTATAATGCTTAGCCTTACAGCCAGAACTATGTAGTAAGATCCTGTGCAAAAAAAAAAAAAAAAAAAGTGGGGGAGGGGGAGGCTCCAATGTCTTCTGTGGTTGAAGAGAGGGGATCACCATATTCTTATGCCCTTACTTAATTTCTAGAGAAATACCAGCCACTTAATTGATTCAGTAAAGTGTGAAAAAAAATCATTAGGGAAGGAAAAATTGTATTGCAAAATTAAATGTTTAAGCTCACCGGCTTGTTTAAATAGTCATAGTGTAAAATCGAGCTGCAGGTTAATTGCTGGACAGTCTGTCTAGTGTTTGTGTCTGTTGCTGTGTTTCAGGTAGCAAAGCCAAAATCCCCAGAGCCAGAAGCAACCTTGACGTTTCCTTTTCTCAACAAAATGCCTGAAACCAACCAATTGCACTTGCCAAATCTCGATTCTCAAGGTAAGGAGGGGAAAAGTGTTCTCTTAGATCTTCCTAGTCTGCTGGGCCCACCTATGGGAAAATGCACCTCACAGGAATAGCTGGTAGCATCCTTCATGTGATGTCCCTGTAGCCACATTCCTCACCAGAGTCTGTGAATTGAGAATTTCAGATGGGAAAGCTGAGAGGCACGTTCAATTTGACACCAGGAACCCTGCCATGAAGACCACCTTGTCAGCTAGGCATTGTGGGTACAACAGGGCCTGATAGTATTGAGACCTTCAAACATGTTTTGTCTTGGCTCCAAAACATGATAATTAAAAATAAAAACTCAATTTGTTTTTTAAAAAATCTAATATTATATGAACTTTATTATTAATTACAGTCTATAAAAATACCCATTTTACTTAATATTAACTTTGGGGAAAGTGAGAGTTTTTGTTCTTTTTGTTTGACCTAAGTCTTGGGTGTCCACAATGATTAGTGTAGTCACTCAACCAAAATTTTACTCTTTCAAAACATTCTTCATGACTAGGTAGTGGGTGGGGGGGTGCATGCTTCTAATCCCAGCACTCGGGAGGCAGAGACAGGTGGATATCTGAGTTCAAGGCCAGTTTGGTCTACAGAGGAAGTTTCAGGACAGCCAGGGGAACAAAGAGAAACCCTGTCTCAAAAAAACAAACAAACAAATAAAAATCTTCATAATAAAAACATTTAATATTTTCAAAAATGAAAAGAATAAAATACACGAAACATTTAAAGATACATCTTCAGTATGTGTGTAATAACACATGTACACTATGGATATGTTTTAGTATGTTTAGCACATAACATACTTTGGATACATTTTAATGTGTTTTGTGTATTTGCTATGTTTTAATGTTTGATATAATGTAAGAAGGTAACTTCGAGAAATACGGTAGTTGAGGATCTGTGAAGGACTTAAACTTGTGCTGGCTCCCACTTTGTGGACCATATATGAGTTTCGAACTCACCCTTTGGTTCTTGAAGAACCCAACTTTATGCCCTTAGCTTCGTGAGAAACCCAAGTGCCCACACCACAAGGAAGGACCTTAGGAATGTGAAGTGGGGAATATGGCATTCTGAGAACGCTACCATCCTTGGTGATTATTCCTCCAAGTGGTCCGCCTAAGGCTGCACCAGTGCAGACTCTCTAGGTTGACAACAGCTAGGGTGGGAGGTAGGACCGTAAGGCTCCGTGTGCTTCTTCAACATTTTCCTCCAGTGTGTTTCATAGATCTGTCAGAGAAGATGGTATGATGTCATTATTCATGACTTATTATTGCCTCTCTTTTAAAGAGTGAGAAACTATTTGGGGTCACCATTAACACCATCTGAGTTGGTCTCCCTTAGCTTTCATTGATTGCTTTGCCAGCTGTATGCAGAACAAAAAGCACTCGGTAGGAAGCGAAGTGGTGCACACACATACTAGTGGGTATTTGTCTCTTAATGGAGAGGCAGATGCAGTACCACCTCCAAAACATTTGACCCAAACTTTTCAGCCTTACAGTCCTGAAAATAATTAATAAAAATTAAATCTCACAACTGGGTCAACCAGTTGGCCATATTTAGACATGGTAATTATGTTCCATTTCTAGCACTTTCTAACTAGTAGGTAAGAACTATAGTTAGGTTAACTATGTCAGCCTCACCAATTAGTCCTGATGCCTAATATTTATATTTTTTATCCCCCATTAAATACAAGGCATTTTGGTTTTGAGAAATTGCTATTGAATTAAGGAACTTTATTTCATCTTTTATCCAAGTTTAATGGTTAAAAAAAATAAAAATTTATAGCACCGGAGTATTTTTAAAGGTAATTTCTCAAAGAAGAACTGGGTTTGGAGGCCCTTATTCTGTTAGGACGTGTGGTTCATGAGCTCTGTGATCCTAAGTGTGAGGGCTGGGAGTCAAACACCTGGATTTAAAGCCTCGCTCATCACGTTCTGAGCTGCAGAGTTCCCCCTTTTAGTTTTCCCCGGGGGCAAACTATCACCTGCCAAGGAGACATTACCATCTGCCAGTTTTTAAGAGAGTAGAATTATAATGATGGGGAGTGAAAGTATAGAGCCAGGTGCTAGGCAGAAAGAATAAACTTTTTTAGAATGCTTTTCTAAAGAAGAAAGAAACATTAACAGGAGAGCAGCACAGCTTGAAGCAGTAGTTCTCAGACATGTGTGTGTGCCCGAGCCTGCGGAGCTGGGACCAAACCTTCAGTGTCCGGTCCTGTAGATCTGGCCAGAGATCTTCAGTACTTCTAGCAAGACCATGCGTCCAGGCAGCCCAGGAATCCCAGCCTGGAAGCCACTGACTTGAAGTAGTTATGTAAATGGTGCCTCAAAGACATTGCTGCTGGGCATGACACTGACTGTCTGATTATTTAGACTCTACAAAATGATCTTTCTAGATGCCAGGGGTCTCTGACAAATGCAATCTATGAAGACACGGTTGCGTTTGATTGGACTGTGGTGGGAGAAGCCGTGGCTTATGACCCAGGTCTAAGAATTTGGTACACACTTAAGCGATGGGCTTGAATTCCATCATCCAGTCCAAAAGAACCAGGAGCCCTAGAGCCACACCTCATAAATTCTCTCTCCCACAGAAATTGGTGTCTCCCCAGTTTCTTTGAAATATCTATTTATAGATGCTCACACAGGCCACTGCAGATCTGCCTGTCAGCCCGAATAAGATTCCACAGGCGCCCCCAAACGCACACATGTGCATCAATACAGGCTTTCAACGCTCTGGAAACATTCCTAAAATCCAGTTAAAGCTGGCGGGTTTCTTTTATCCAGCCCTCTGGAAACAGTAAAGTTATGCCAAAGTTATATTTCTATAAAACACAGGCTTTGACCTGCGGTGTTTGTTGCTCTGAGAATTCGCATGATAGAGCCCAATACATAAGGTGCAAATGCTTGCCAGGAGTCGTGTGTGCTTGGCACACTGCACGCTGTCACAGCCATGTACCTGTCTGTATGTGTGACAGGAAAACAGCCACATCCTCGCCCCTTCATCAGGTGTGATGTGGAGAGCATCATCCATCCCACTGTCCATCTCTCCTGCCCTTTTATTCTTCCCCTAAAGTGGCCCCTGCACAGTGTGCCGCTGTTGTCATCATGACCTTTAACCCTTAAACAGTATCCCCGCTAAGTATGGGCCTAAAACCTTTCCCTCAGCACCTCCATAGCAGAAACGCAGACGGCCCACTGTCTGTATCGTCGGGTTTTACATGTGTTCCGGAGAGCTGTCTCACGTTGGGTTGAGTTGTTCAGTTCCTGGCTCAACTAGAGCTGCCCCTTCTTTGACGTGTGGGGGTGTGTTCTCAGTTCTCACCCGGTCTCACGGATTTCTGTTTATTCTATTTTGCCATCTGATCTAGAGGTGCCTAGCAGAGCCAGTGTTCCGCTGAGAGTTCAGAACTCTTGGCTACGGTCCCAGTTTTTCTCCCAGTCAGGTAAACAGCATACTGGGTAGCTGCATCTCTTACATGTAAAAATTCATGTTGGGGCCGCCAATGGTGTCTGTCATCTGTCTTTGTTTCCGATTTAAGATATTTAAAAGAAAAAAAAAGATGCTTGTTTGTGACACACAGTTAGCAATGAGCTTGTTCTTTGATATCAATCAGCACGGTCGTACTAAAATTGGGAGGCTTTCGCAGAGCTTTATATTGATTTTTGAGATGCCAGAGAAATAACACCACCCACCTGGCTCTTTACCATCCTCTGAAGTCAGATGAGAAGCATCGGCCACAGATGTGGTGTTCTCTTGTTAACTGTGTCACTCGCTCCTCTTCCTGGATGGCATCGGCCTCTCTGTGTCGTACTTCTCCGTGTCAGACCGTGGGGACCTGCTCTGTTCGCCAGAACGCAGGGTGTACTAAGACCCGGCACTAATAGCTGTAGTCGTCGCTTCCTAGAGTCTAGTACCTGGCGCTGCTTGGTGGGTCACACTCTCAGTCCTCTTGGTGATGGGCACAACCTGCCAGGCTCTGCTCTACTGTGATTTCCTAATACTGCCCAAGTTAACCTAGGAGCCACCCTCCACTGAGAGGAGCAAAAGACCAGCACAGCCAAAAGCCACCTACACTGATGCCTTCTTTTCTGTCTTTTTACTCTGTGTAGCGGATTCTCCGAGCAGCGAGAAGTCCCCTGTAACCACACCCGTAAGTAGTCCCCCTTAAAGAACCAACTTGTGCGTTTGGAGTGATTTTAACTTATGTTTGATTTTCTTAACGAGTATTCAACCAAAACTGAGATCCAAAAATTTTTTTACTTTGAAACAATTTGATGCTATCTGGTACCAAGATTGTATATCATTATATAAAGTAGTTATCCTGTCCTGCCTGGAAAACAAATGCTGATTTCTTTGTATCCTTGAGCCTGGGTTTACTAGCCGCAGGACACTGGAGGTGGTTTATAAATCCTCCCTGTTTAATCTTCCTTGACTGCACAGTGAGATGCAAGTAGCTTTCTTTTGGGGTGATGGTAAGCCTTACTTGACATCATCATACAGTTGCTGCTATATGGTGCCTGATACAGGAATGCTTCCTCCCTCTCCAGTAACCAGTCCAAGATGCTCCCTTTGTGGCCATGTAGAATGGACCACCGCTTGTCACATACCCTTGATCTCTCCAACCACGTCTCAGAACTAGGAACCATATGTGAAAGCTCAACCATAAACCATCAGTGGTAATCCCGGGTTTCCTGGAAGTTAAGAACCCCAGAATGTCTGTAAAGCAGGCATCACCGCACATAGCCGAAGAGGATGATGCAAGCCATTGACTCCCAAGGTTGTCAAACTATTCATGTGCCCCCGGGTGGGGATGGAGAGAAAAAGTCACTGCAAAAAGATACTGTCATTTCCTGTTGGGGAAAGTAGAATACGTGAGAGAATCCATAGATTCAGGTAGAAAATCCTGCCACAGGATTCTCCGTTCTCCACCTTGCTAAAACCTTCTCTAAAGCTTTTATTACCAGTCTTGGGTTTGAGTATTTAGTATGCCAGCCTCAGGGCTGGGGCTCCACTCATCTTGCTCTCATGGTGACGTTAAACCACTTTGGGAAAGCCACAGTGGTATAAGGAGCTCACTTCAGGAACAAAAGACCCTCGTTCTTAAACGATACTCTCCTGGTATAAGCCAGAATTAGCATGGGCAACAAGCACCATGCCCAGGAGCTCGGGTGCTTCTGAGACTCCTCGTGCTCCCGAGAGACATGGAGCAAAGCCTTCTCGTTCCTGTGGTTAGGCACTGTGTTTCTGTTACCCATAAAGAAGCGCAGAGGCATAGAACCAGCCCGGCAGCTTAGAATCAAAGTAAAAAGGGATTAAGTTTGGAAATGTTTTCTGCCACCAAAGAGGACATTTAGCTGTGTGAAGATTTGTTTCTGTGTCCCTTGGGTACCATATTGGAGGCTATTGTCTTCTTGCCCTGGCAAGGCATCCAGTTCTGATCATGGGGTTGCTTTCTTTGTTTTTCCTGAGCAGTTTAAGTTCTGGGCATGGGACCCGGAAGAGGAGCGTAGGCGACAGGAGAAATGGCAGCAGGAACAAGAGCGTCTGCTCCAGGTAGGACCAGCCTGCTGGTTTCCCCGTGTTCGGTAACTGTGTACTTGCGATGTCTGTTACATTGAATAGACTTTTAGCACAGGGAACATGGAATCCAGTTCTCAGAAACTCAGGAGTAGTTTGTCTATGCCCTGTGTCCAGGCAACCGAGTCTGGTACCTGATTGTTCCTGCTAACAGGTCCAGATGAGGAGTGGGGAGAAAAATATTCACATTAACACTTTAAATATATATATATGTATGTATGTATGTATGTAATGATTAAGGGTCAGTCTACCTGTATTCATTACCTCCTTAGTCACCAGTTCTCAGTTCAAGAAGCAGTGAGAACAAATTGCCGAAAAACCTTTCGATCGCATTAGGTAGAATAAAATTTGACATCAGTCTAATTCCTTTAACAGAATTTCCATTCCATTTTTCAGTGAAAACTGATAATGGCCCATTCTAGAAATATTTCGAGACAAAATGTAACACGCTTCCATTGGCTTCCTGCCTACAGTGACCTAATGACCTCTGAAACTGACCTATTTGTATCCTTGGGGTGTGCCAGGAACACACCTGAATAGTCCGTGTTTAGTTGAAAAGGCGAAGGTACACAGATGTTGCATTAACCGCCCAGTATCCCATGGTTGATAGATGCAGGGCCTGGACCCAAGCCTAAGTCTCTATAAAGCTGAAACCTGTGCTATTTCTGCGACACACCCAGACGCTCACATGGAGAAGTAGTGGAAACCTCGTTGAATTTGATGGTTCCTGCTACGCTAGAACTGAAGTGCAATGCAATTTATTCTCCTTTCTCTTCATATTTTGTCCTAACCCTTTGCCCTGATTCCCATGGGTAAGGGAGTGGGCTCAATGGTAAAAATCAACTATTTGGATTTAGCTCTGCACTTCAGTTAAGTGCCTTGATGACTTAAACGGTAGTAAGACCCTCTGGGTTCCCATCCTAAATCTTTACAGTATCCTGGAGTGAGGGGTCATTTGTTTTGTTTTTGGAATTGGCTTCCGCTTCTTTTGTGTGTTTGTTTTTTGAGACTCACTAGATAACCCTGCCTGGTCTGGAATTTGCAGAGACCCTGCTGTCTCTCTCCTGAGCGCTGGGATTACAGGCATGCAGCACCATGCCCAGCTTCTGCACTGTTTGGTTCTGATAATAAGTTTCACTTGTATCCACGGCTTCTGCCATGGGTTGGCCAACAGTGCTCTAATAGAATCAGCAAGAGCCTTTTGCACCGTGACATAACAGCTGCTGTCTGGGGACACCTCAGTGTCGTCGTCCCCCTCCAAAGAGACACACGGGCCTGTCCTAGCCCCAGACAACGACAGTAACAATCAGGTGTTGGAACATGTGTGCACAAGCGCATGCCTCCTTTGTCTATGAGGTTTTCATTTTTGAGGTTTTCATGGAGTCAATTCTCATTTCAAACACCGATTTTGATCTTCACATACTCTTTTTTTTTTCTGGTGAGCTGTCAGAGACTTCCTGCATATTTTTATATTATTCTTATAAGGAATGTTTTATTATCTCTCAGAAGTGGTGATGAGTATTGCACCCTTTCTGAGCACAGGGATGGAAGCTCTCACACCAAAGCACTGTGATGAGTGGTTTCAAGGCTCTCTTGATTAAAGTTACTGTGAGCTGGGCCTGGAAGGCCTCATCTCATTGCCATGGCCATAAGCAGAGTGCCTCTGCCTCTCAGCTGATGGTTGTCTGGAGCACTTTGGACTTTTCTGCCCTGCCTCTCTTATAAACTTAGTAGGTTTTTATTACCTTTTATTAAACTTCCTTGCCAGCAGTGTTGGCTGGTTTGGGCTTTGATTGGTTGTTATTTATGGGGGTGGGGTTCAAACCCAGACCATGGAACGTGCTAGGCAACTACTTCCCCAGCCCAGCAAAATATTTCTATTGATGAAATAGCAAAACTCACCTCTGAGAGGCTCAGCTGAAGTAGACTCTATGTGTAGCCTACCTAGGAGCTCCCAAGCTGAGGGAGAGTGTTGCTTGTTGATTTTTTTCATCCTTCATGAACAATTGTCTATCTGAAGAGAAATTCTGAAAAACACAACAGCAGAAATCTGGCTTCCCGTGGGATTTTAAATGTCTGTGTTAGTTAATTTTCTCTTGCTGCGATAAAAAAAAAATGCCCTGACAAAAAGCAAGTTAGGAAGAAAGGTTTGTTTTGGCTGACAGTTGCAGAGGTCTACAGTCTGTCACTGTGGGGAAGTCACGGCAGTGGGAGCTGGAGGCCTGGCTGGCAGTGAGGAAGCCAAGTAGTCACCTTTCATTCACACGGTAGAAGCAGAGAGAGAAGAGGAAGGGAGATTGGGCTATAAAACCTCAGAGCCCAACCCCAATGACGTACTTCCTCTGGCCAAGCTCCACATCCTAAAGCTTCCCAAACAGTACCACTAAGTGGGACCAAGTGCCCAGACACACGAGCCAATGGGAGGTGTTCCTCATTCAAACCACCACGTGTACCTGACTTGTACCTAATACCCAGCATCTCTTTCTACGGTGTGCATGCATGAGATTCCAATGTTCTCTCACCAAGAGTATCTTGCAATGTGTTGTGCATGGTGCTTTAGAAGAGGGGGGACATCCCAGCGATGGGGTACGGTGGTCACTCCCAAATGTTCTGTGGACATCCCATGACAGGAGAGGTACCAGAAGGAACAAGATAAGTTGAAGGAAGAGTGGGAAAAGGCCCAGAAGGAGGTGGAGGAAGAAGAACGCAGGTACTACGAGGAGGTAGGAAATTGCCAAGAAGAATGTGGCTTTGTCAGCACAGTCCCTTTAGTCTGTCACCTCCCTTTGTGTCTGCAGTGCATGCTGGTTGTGGGGTGTCTGACTCTTTCCCACAGCAGTGTCGCTTTAGTCTCTGGAAAGAGAACCACATCATACGGGTTCTGACAGACCACAGGAACCCTCCACCATGTGGGCTGTAGGAAGAACGGATTGAGCCATGTTGAAGAAGCCGCTGTAATCACATCAATATCTGATTCTTCATCTATGTTAGATAACATAAAAACAGCAATATCAGGGCTGGAGAGATAGCTCAGTGGTTAAGAGCACTGCCTGTTCTTCCAGAGGTCCTGAGTTCAATTCCTAGCAACCACATGCTGGCTCACAACCATCTGTAAGGAGATCTCATGCCCTCTTCTGACCTGCATACATAATAAATAAGTCTTTAAAATAATTTTTAAAAAAAAGCCAGGTAGTGGTGGCACACGTCTTTAATCCCAGCATTTGGGAGGCAGAGGCAAGTAGATCTCTGTGAGTTTGAGGACAGCCTTGTCTACAAAGCGAGTTCCAGGACAGCCAGGACTGTTCACAGAGAAAACTTGTCTTGAAAAACCAAAAACCAAAAAACAGCAACATCTTTATCTCTGTGTGTACTCACTTACAGTAAGAGTGTTTGTAGTAATGAATTTGTTTTGTAAGATAATTTTAGCATTGAAGTTAAATACATCCTTACTACTGTCAAAATTACAACATCAAGCTGGAGGACTTGTAGAGGAGACTTGTGTCCTGGTGATGTTTTAACAACAGCAGCAGAATTTGCAGAGGCTGTCTAAAGCGTCTGCTATCTAAAGTTTGTTGTCAATATCGTTGGGAACTTTGCCTTCCACATAGCTGATTTAGCTGATGAGCTCCACAGTAGTTTTTCTTCACCCTGTTCTTCTAATTAGTTAAACACTAGTTAAACTTGGTGTTTGTAAATTCAATACGAAGTTCTAAACTCCTGCCTATTTGGTGTATTTGATTTGTGTGCTCTGGAAAAATGCAATTTCCTTAATGCCATACTTTCTTGTATATGTTCTGATGAATCTTCTTTTCCTGGAGTTCCTTAATGTGTCTTTTTCTCTTGACAAATTTTTAAAAACTTTTTTCTTTTTCTTTTTCATTTATCCCTGTCTTTGCCCTAGGAGCGTAAGATAATTGAAGACACGGTGGTCCCGTTCACTCTTTCCTCGAGTTCTGCAGACCAGCTGTCTACTTCCTTGTCTGTCACTGACGGCAGCGGGACTACGGTAAGATCACTGATGGAAGCCGGGTGTGCCATAAGTAACTTAAACCAGGCTTCCCATCACAGTGACTTCACACCAAACCTCGCTGTCCATCCAGAGCCTCGGCAGCTCCTGCGTGGACGCGACACCTGGTGTGTTGTTCCCGCTGTCACCCAGCCCTGGCCAGATCTTCCCAGACAGGCTAGCAGGATCTCCAGTCATAAACCCATGTGCTGGAACATTCTCTCTGCCTGGCTCAAGCATCACTCTTTTCTTCCACAGCCATGTGCCCCCCACCGTGTCATGCATCCCTCTGCATGATTGGCAGCAGATATGCCCCCCCAGTGCATTCTCCACCAGCCGCATTAAAACAAGCCCATTACCCTCAAAATTCAACACGAACCTGACATGTCTTTTGGTAGAGAGATCCTGGAAAGGCTGTGGTCAGCCCCACATCCCCCAAGTAAGGTGGTGGGGGTATAGATAGAAACATGTTAAATAACTCATGGCTACCTAAGGCCATTTGTCCTGAAGTTAGCTGTCCCATGTCTTCATTTTGTTCGGAAAGGAAAGTTTCTTGACCAATCCCTTTTGTGATCATTTTTTAGAAAGATCTCAATGGCACATTTATTCTAAATATTTAGAAATCGTTGATCATTAGTTTAGAAGACTAGTCTTTGAATTGTAGGCAGGGAGACTGACAAACAGGGTTGGGGCAGGAGTAGAAGAACAGGGTGGCTATAATCAGCACGTTGTATGCATGTCTGCAGTCTTGCAGTAGAAGCGCAGGGTGGCTATAATCAGCACGTTGTATGCATGTCTGCAGTCTTGCAGTAGAAGCGCAGGGTGGCTATAATCAGCACGTTGTATGCGTGTATGCAGTCTTGCAGTAGAAGAGCAGAGTGGCTATAATCAGCACGTTGTATGCATGTCTGCAGTCTTGCAGTAGAAGCGCAGGGTGGCTATAATCAGCACGTTGTATGCATGTCTGCAGTCTTGCAGTAGAAGAGCAGGGTGGCTATAATCAGCACGTTGTATGCATGTCTGCAGTCTTGCAGTAGAAGAGCAGAGTGGCTATAATCAGCACGTTGTATGCATGTCTGCAGTCTTGCAGTAGAAGCACAGAGTGGCTATAATCAGCACGTTGTATGCATGTCTGCAGTCTTGCAGTAGAAGAGCAGGGTGGCTATAATCAGCACGTTGTATGCATGTCTGCAGTCTTGCAGTAGAAGAGCAGGGTGGCTATAATCAGCACGTTGTATGCATGTCTGCAGTCTTGCAGCGACTCTCATTCACTTGTACAAAAAGAACATATTAATCATTTCTTTAAAATTTAGAGCAAAAAAAATAGAAGAAAAAAATTTCATTATTCAAAGAGAGGAAAGGGTATGGGTTAGGTTTCAGGTAGTTCATGGTCAGATGTAAGCCATTAGAGGGTGGGTTTCAGAGAGTCCATGCTCAAATAGGAAAGTCGTCTAGTGCGTCTAAAAAATATATTCACAGTGATCCCAATTTTTCTATCAGAATAAAGTGGACTTGGAAAATTCTCAAGACAAAGAAAAAGAGAGAAGACAGAAGATACCTTTCCAGGAGGGCGACAGTGACCAGTTGCTCAAGGCTGGGGAAAGTGGTCCACCCAAGGAGGACAGGTGTGTGCCCATCCAAGACGTGCATGGGAATTCCCACAGCTGGCCTCTGTCATTCCCTCCCAGGAAGGTGGTCCCACTGCTTTAAAATGATCAGTCTAATGGTGCATTCCATGTTGCTTAAACATGCCCCAACAGCGCTGAAGTCAGGGTCCTTGGGCCCTTGGATATATAGACTTGTTTTTAAACAGGCAAGGCCAGTTGTGGTGACAGGATAGACAAAAGGATCATAAATTTGAGACCAGCCTTGAGTACATAACAAGAGCATATCTCAAAAAAAAATATAATTAAATTTAAGAGCTGGAGAGATGGCTCCAAGGATAATGTCGCATACCACTCAAGCCTGCAACCTGAGTTCGATCCCCAGAAAGCACATACAAGTAGGAGAGACCCAACTCCATGGTCATCCTCTGTCCTCCACATGCGTGGTGTGGGGTGAGCACACACATCATCGATGGGGAATCTTTGTCAACCCATTATCTTTAAGAGGTGGGACCGAGTTACGGTGTGGCTGGGTCACGGAGAAAAACAGGTTCATGGCCCGGGTGCTCTCTCTTTCTCTCTCTGTGGTTTCCTCGCAGCACCGCTGAGCTTGGGCTTCTCATTCCTGTTTCGTGAGTTTGCCCTTTATAATAAATAAAAATATAATTGTTTCATCTTTTAGCTAGCCTGGTTATTTCACAAACTGAGTTAATTCAACACATCATATACATGCATATGATCTAATTTAAATGTTGTCATAGTAATGTAGAAAATAATAAAGGAGACCTGTTTTAAATAAAGAGAAAAGAAGTTCAAGTCCTGAGGTCCCACCTACCTTGGTTCCACTGTGGACCTGAACTTGGCTGTGACTGTCCTCACTGATGTGAGCATGTTTACTTGGAGTGGTAATGTGAAGGATAACCAAATTGTCAGAACCAGTGTGGCTAGTCACTTCATGTGTGCACTCTAGAATGTTCCATGGGAGAGCCAGAACTGAACCCAGAAACCTCAGAGTACACAAAGTACCTGAGACTGGACCCGACTCTGGGCTACAGGTTATCAGTGCCGCCCACCCTTGCCTAACCTGAAAGGAATCTACAGGAACCCCAGGAAGTTGACAGCATCCTGCTTAAGAAAGAGATGCTGCCTCTGGGGCATGAGATCCCAGATAGGTATCAGCAAGTACGCATGTGTCTGTCACACATTTCCAGCATCCCAGATAGACCCGAGAATGAGAAAGCTTTCTAGGTCATAGACTGGCCAAGGTCGGGAACTGAGTTCTGGTGAGGGTTTGCACTGAATGAGCTGCTAGCCCCAGACACTGAGCACCAAGTCTGACTGGCAGGGCGTGGTCCTCCTAGAAGAGCAGCTCTGTTTCCAGGTAACACTGCTTCCCAGTCTGGGAAATGAGCTGTTGGTCAGGAGATCTGAAGAATCCCAAAACACACTCCATGTGTGTGTCTGCTAGTTCTCCACACAGGCCTTGCCTGTGAGTTTGTTGTTTGCTTTCTCCAGGCTACTTTGTCACCAGAAATTTTGCCTTTATCTCCTTAAATCTTTCCTTTCTCTGCACACAGAAGTCACTGAAAGGCTGGGGATTAACCAAGGCTGCAGAGATCCCAAGTGACCTCAGTGACTTATTTATCCGTTTGTTTTTAGTAGTATGTTGCTTTGCAGCCAAGGCTGGCCTTGAACTCGTGATCCTTCTGCCTCTGCCTCCTGAGTGCTTGGATTACATGTGTGCGTCACCATGCGTGACTTCCAAGTGAGACCTATAATAATTGCTCTCTTGTGAAAATCTGGGAGCATCCCTAGAGATGCTCAGCCTGAAGAGTCTGGTGGGCGGGGAGGTGCTCAGAAACGATCATTTCTTGACTGTATTAAATTGATGTTAAAAGGCATAGTATTTTATAATGGTTTTAGATGTAGTTTAAAATAAAGAGAATAAACAAACAGTCTGTTTCCTTTCTTTAGAGTGTAATTGCTAGCTCTGTGTCCTCGGGTATAGAAACAGTAAGTTTGATCAGGTTGCTGTTATCTCTGCTCTGAAGATGTATTTTTGTTTTAGTATTAGCAGCCTAATTCAAGGACCCTCGGCTCACTCAGAAGACTCCATGTCAAAAGGAATCCATCTGGACCAGTGGCCAGAGACAGAGGCTGGGACCCCGCACTGTGGTACAGGCCCACAGCTAGCTCAGGGTAAGAATCGACCAGGAGCTGGAGGCAGAGGCTGGGACCCCGCACTGTGGTACAGGCCCACAGCTAGCTCAGGGTAAGAATCGACCAGGAGCTGGAGACAGAGGCTGGGACCCCACACTGTGGTACAGGCCCACAGCTAGCTCAGGGTAAGAATCGACCAGGAGCTGGAGGCAGAGGCTGGGACCCCGCACTGTGGTACAGGCCCACAGCTAGCTCAGGGTAAGAATCGACCAGGAGCTGGAGGCAGAGGCTGGGACCCCGCACTGTGGTACAGGCCCACAGCTAGCTCAGGGTAAGAATCGACCAGGAGCTGGAGGCAGAGGCTGGGACCCCGCACTGTGGTACAGGCCCACAGCTAGCTCAGGGTAAGAATCGACCAGGAGCTGGAGGCAGAGGCTGGGACCCCACACTGTGGTACAGGCCCACAGCTAGCTCAGGGTAAGAATCGACCAGGAGCTGGAGGCAGAGGCTGGGACCCCGCACTGTGGTACAGGCCCACAGCTAGCTCAGGGTAAGAATCGACCAGGAGCTGGAGGCAGAGGCTGGGACCCCGCACTGTGGTACAGGCCCACAGCTAGCTCAGGGTAAGAATCGACCAGGAGCTGGAGGCAGAGGCTGGGACCCCGCACTGTGGTACAGGCCCACAGCTAGCTCAGGGTAAGAATCGACCAGGAGCTGGAGGCAGAGGCTGGGACCCCGCACTGTGGTACAGGCCCACAGCTAGCTCAGGGTAAGAATCGACCAGGAGCTGGAGGCAGAGGCTGGGACCCCGCACTGTGGTACAGGCCCACAGCTAGCTCAGGGTAAGAATCGACCAGGAGCTGGAGGCAGAGGCTGGGACCCCGCACTGTGGTACAGGCCCACAGCTAGCTCAGGGTAAGAATCGACCAGGAGCTGGAGGCAGAGGCTGGGACCCCGCACTGTGGTACAGGCCCACAGCTAGCTCAGGGTAAGAATCGACCAGGAGCTGGAGGCAGAGGCTGGGACCCCGCACTGTGGTACAGGCCCACAGCTAGCTCAGGGTAAGAATCGACCAGGAGCTGGAGGCAGAGGCTGGGACCCCGCACTGTGGTACAGGCCCACAGCTAGCTCAGGGTAAGAATCGACCAGGAGCTGGAGGCAGAGGCTGGGACCCCGCACTGTGGTACAGGCCCACAGCTAGCTCAGGGTAAGAATCGACCAGGAGCTGGAGGCAGAGGCTGGGACCCCGCACTGTGGTACAGGCCCACAGCTAGCTCAGGGTAAGAATCGACCAGGAGCTGGAGGCAGAGGCTGGGACCCCGCACTGTGGTACAGGCCCACAGCTAGCTCAGGGTAAGAATCGACCAGGAGCTGGAGGCAGAGGCTGGGACCCCGCACTGTGGTACAGGCCCACAGCTAGCTCAGGGTAAGAATCGACCAGGAGCTGGAGGCAGAGGCTGGGACCCCGCACTGTGGTACAGGCCCACAGCTAGCTCAGGGTAAGAATCGACCAGGAGCTGGAGGCAGAGGCTGGGACCCCGCACTGTGGTACAGGCCCACAGCTAGCTCAGGGTAAGAATCGACCAGGAGCTGGAGGCAGAGGCTGGGACCCCGCACTGTGGTACAGGCCCACAGCTAGCTCAGGGTAAGAATCGACCAGGAGCTGGAGGCAGAGGCTGGGACCCCGCACTGTGGTACAGGCCCACAGCTAGCTCAGGGTAAGAATCGACCAGGAGCTGGAGGCAGAGGCTGGGACCCCGCACTGTGGTACAGGCCCACAGCTAGCTCAGGGTAAGAATCGACCAGGAGCTGGAGGCAGAGGCTGGGACCCCGCACTGTGGTACAGGCCCACAGCTAGCTCAGGGTAAGAATCGACCAGGAGCTGGAGGCAGAGGCTGGGACCCCGCACTGTGGTACAGGCCCACAGCTAGCTCAGGGTAAGAATCGACCAGGAGCTGGAGGCAGAGGCTGGGACCCCGCACTGTGGTACAGGCCCACAGCTAGCTCAGGGTAAGAATGAGTGAAGACACAAATCCCAACATTTAAGTTGCTGTAAACCCTCACAGCTTCTGTTAAATATATAACACATAAACTCCCATCATGTGACCAGACTCTACACAAGGCGGTTGGGGCTTCAGTGAGACCTGGACAGTTATTCGCATTTTACAGACTAGAGGCTGTGGCTGCTGAGATGGCTCAGTGATTAAGAGCTTGTCATTAAAGCCTGATGACCTGAGTCCAATCCTGGCTTGTAGAGTGGAGAGAGAGAAGTAACTCCCTGATGGTGGTCCTGTGGCCTTCACACACACACACACACACACACACACACACACACAAAATAAATAAATGTAATTTTTTAATTTAGAAGGAGGAGCTGGAGAGATGGTTCAATGGTTAAGAGCTCTGACTCCCCTTTCAAAGGACCCAGGTTCTATTCCTAGCACCTATATGACAGCTCCTTTCAGTAACTCTGTATCCAGGAATATGACACCCTCTTATGGCCTCCATGGCACTGCCTACATGTGGGATCACAGATGTACATGCAGGCAAAACACCCATACACAGAAAATAACATTTTTTTAATAAAAGGGAGACTTGACAAACTTTTAAGTTACTATAAACAGTGCATTCTTCTAATGTCCTGGTTGTACCATTGAACATAACCCTGCCCCAGAAAATGCTCTTGGTGGGTAGACTGCACCAAACCAGATTGGGCTATGTGTGGAACACAGCCCACGGAGAATTCCTCTGAGGACCAGAAGCCATGGGCGCCTTACATTCCGGTGTTTTCCTGGGTATCATCTAGATGCTGCTGAGCACGCTTATGTCCCTTTCTCGGTTTTAGAGCCACCTCAGAATCATCAGGTGTCAAACCCATCAGCATGTATGTCAGAAGATGTGAAGCCCAAAACCCTGCCCCTGGATAAAAACCTTAATCATCAGCTCGAGTCTCCGGGTGAAAGACGGAAGTGAGTAGACAAATGGCGGATGTGGGCTTCTTTTTTATTGTATTTGACTTGGATGGGGAGCAGTGTTCGATGACAGGATGTCAGCAGCTTTTCTGTGCTTTGTCTTCATTTAATCCCACTTTCGCGTGATTGGTGCTTGAGAGTTTAAAACGGTTTCTCGCAGTGAGCCTTCCCAGTAATGTTATGCAGTTGATAATCCTATTTTCAGGTGAAGAGTTGAGGGGAGTTACATATCTTGCCCCCAGAATTTGGCTGGTTATGTTTTAGAGGAATTTACAGAGGACTCAGAACTTCACAAGACCGTGGTGAAGCCGCGCATCGCACTTGGAAGGTCCTAGCATTCATTACTTTAGCCAGTCATTCCTCTTGGATCCGGACTGTGTGGGTTCAGAGTCTGTCTGCCTCGTACCGACACAGAGCCTTGAGGATGGCTCTTAGTTTTTACCGCCCTAGTTTCCTCATTATCAAGTTGGAATGAGACTAGTATCTTCCTCGGATTTCCATGTCTGGCAAATAACCAGCACCGCAGTGTGGGTCATCAGCAGGCCCTGTTCGCTTCTCTTCCTTCTCTGCACGATATTAAACCACCACCCTTCTCTCTGAATCCCCCAGGAATCACAGGAGCTCAGGTCACCTAGATGCAGTCACTCCCAGTGGTTACTGCGTGGCTTTCAGCCTTTTTATTCTTTCAGGCCATGGCGGTTACACTTTGAAAATGTGACCTTTGGGGGATACAGGTGCCATCTGAGGTGGGGGGGCGCAGAGTGAGCGGGGCCTCAAGGGACCTCACAGTCAAGCAGCCAGAGACAGAGGGGTTTTGTCCTCTGTGTTCCTGTTTTCTTTTCCTTGTCCTTTTCTGTGCCCTGACTAGTTTTTCACTCACAATATTAACTTTTCCATACTGACAACCTGTTCCCACACAGGGCTCCCAAGCAGCACTTGCCCCTATGTGACATGCTGGCATCGTCAAATTAGGGCCTTCTGATTTCTTATGATCGAATGAGTATTAAATAGGGTCTTCTGATTTCTTATGACCGAATGAGTATTAAACAGTCTCAACGCCACCTTTCATTGCGGGCATCTAAGGCAGAAGCCACAGCACTAAAAGTCCCTTCCTCTAAGACCTGCCCTGTTTTGTTTGAGTGGCCACGTGACCCTAGCTGCATGATATCTTTTAATTTTAATTTCATGGTCTTTACCATAAAGCGGCTTTTTAAAAAATCATCTCCCTGAACTTCTGGGCTGCCCTTAAGAATTTCTTCCTGTGTTTTTATTCATCTTTCTGTCCCACTAAGCCTGTAGTTTTCGTAAGAAATGCAGCAGGCAACAACAGCTTGTTCAACAGCTTAAATAACAGCCCCGTGATTCAAATAAAGGAGAATTCACCATATTCTCCTTTCTAAGCAGCGGTGTCAGTGTGATTTCCATTTTACACACCTGTGCATTCCTTCTGGACGTAATTGCTAATTTCTCTCCCATTCCCAACCCGCACTTGTGAGACTGAGCCAGAAGGAAGACCAAACTTCAGGCCCACCTAGGCGCCTTAGTGAGACATACTTCAAAACACATCAGGCCAAGATGCCAGTAGGAGACTCCTCTGTGGTCCTTTTGTTTTAGTTTGAAGCTAAAATGTCTTCTATTGTGGCTTCTGTTAACTTTTCATAACTGTGGGCTCCTTTGCCGTGTTACAGGAAAAGTCCTCGAGAGAACTTCTGGGCTGGGCCCCTGTCCCCCTGTTCTCCTACCCCTCCCGGCCAGTCACCAAACAGGTATAAGAGGTCAGCAAGCCTTTCAGAGGCTGTTTTGTGCTTCCAGCACCTACGGGCATGACTCTGGGCAGATTAGTGCTTGTCGAATGATTCTGAGAGCCTTGTCATCCACATCTCTCCTCCAACCACATGCACAGAGGGGGGGCAGTCAGGAAAGCATCTCCATCTGCCTGCGGATTCATCAGCATGGGGTAGAAAAAGTCAGATATGTGGTGCTAGCTGTGGCCATTAGGTTTTAAAAGCATTGTGTGGAGCATACAATCTAATAATAAGGTCCCCCAGACAGTTGTTGGGCTCCTACAGCCTTGCCTCCACCTCCAGGATGATAACCCTCGGAGGGCAGTGGGTTGCTGGCTCCTCTAGAGAAATGGAGAGCTGGGAAACAAAACTTCATCCTCTTCCATCCCTCCCTAGATCTGACAGTGGCTCTGGGCAGTAGCTGGTCCCCATGATATCTTTAAAGGTGCCCAGCTATCTGTCTGTCTGACTAAGGACTAAGAGGCTTTCACTGATAGAGAATTTTCTTTCCATGGCTAGGTAGAGGTACATCTAGGGTTTGATGAGGCCAGGTCTTTGAGGAGACCTCTCGTTGTCTGCCCTTCTGGTTCTCTGTCCCTTTGGACCACTGTGACTTTCAAATGACAATACTGGTGAATTTCTCCCAGGGCTTGCAGCAGAAGGCATTATTGGAAAGCTGCCATTAGGGGACAGCCCTGTGGTGGCAGGTGGGCCATTGACCCTGCCCTTTCACCTGCTGAGTTTATGTTCAGTCTGTGGGTGGACAGTGTCCAGGGCCGTAGGTGTATGAAGGAGGGTGGGTTCAGTCCCAGGAGTTTACAATATAGACAGAAAGCAAGTACCGTTCCAGCGGACAGTGTTTGTGCTGGAAGACACAATAGAGATATGCTGGCCAACCCCAGGAGAGCCCTTGGTGGCACACAGGGAAGTCAAGGAGAGGCAGGGACCCTATCTCTGAGGCTTCCCAAGGCTCCTTCCCTCCTCCATTACAATGGACTCTTTGTAAAGGAAATGCAGTGGAAACTGTTAAGGGCACATTGGAACCTTAATAAAACTGAGTGTCTTGTTAAAACTTCTGTAAACATATGATGCTCATATTAAATCATCTCAAGATGCTCAGACACAGCGGACTCAGCACCACGTGGAGGCCCATCACCTTCAGCTCAGGCCTTGCTGGCAGCATATGGCTCTGCATAATTCCAAATTCATTGTCAGTTTGTGATCCTCACATTATTCATGGTTGAAGCATTTTGTAAACTCCACGTGTCCATCTTTGCATGAGGTTGCCTGTTGTGTGAGCCAAGGTTCTCACCGTGCCTTTTTCTGCCCAGGTCTATTAGCGGGAAGAAGCTGTGCTCCTCCTGTGGGCTCGCTCTGGGTAAAGGAGCCGCGATGATCATCGAGACCCTGAATCTCTACTTTCACATCCAGTGTTTCAGAGTATGTACACACACAGCCCTCTCCTCTCGGAGCCAATGTCAGGGTCTAGATCTTTCCCTGTACTAATAAATCCCTCCTGTAACCTTGCAACCTCTCCCTGTGTGATATAGACAGATGTGAGGGTCAGGCCCAGGTATAGACAGATGCGAGGTTCAGGTTCAGGTGTAGACAGATGTGAGGGTCAGGTCCAGGTATAGACAGATATGAGGTTCAGATCCAGGAATAGACACATGTAAGGGTCAGGTCCAGGTATAGACAGATGTGAGGGTCAGGTCCAGGTATAGACAGATGTGAGGGTCAAGTCCAGGTATAGACAGATGTGAGGGTCAGGTCCAGGTATAGACAGATGTGAGGGTCAAGTCCAGGTATAGACAGATATGAGGGTCAGGTCCAGGTATAGACAGATGTGAGGGTCAGGTCCGGGTATGGACAGATGTGAGGGTCAGGTCCAGGTATAGACAGATGCGAGGGTCAGTTCCAGGTATGTGAGGGATGTGAGGGTCAGCTCCCCAACCCTGAGTCCCTCTGGGAAGTGAAATCCTTCTAGAAGAAAAAAAATAGGTCTGTGCAGTTTGTCTTGTCACACCTTAGTGGCTAACCCAGACATCCCAAAGGGACGTCCAGAATGAAACCCTGGGAGACAGTGGACCTTCTGAGTATTTTGGACCCTAAGGATTTATTTGAAATATCTTAACTTTTAGGATTTCGTGTGACAGGGTTTTAGGTGTTGCCCTAATGGAATACTTTCTGCCCGGTAAGTGGCAGTGGCTAGCTGTAAGATTTCAGTATTCAGAGAGACAGTGTCCATGACCTCAGATGAAGACTCCCTCTGCAAAGCTCCATATGAAGTCTGTTGATCTGTTGTTGTTGTTGTTGTTACTGGTGTGTAGTGTTTTGTTTGAAACAAGGTCTCCTTGTATAGCCCAGGCTGGCCTCAAACCACCCACAGGCCTTCTGCCTTCGCCTCCCTAGTGCTGAGATTACGAACACGCCCCGCCACACCCAGCCAGGCACTGGCCTTTGCTGAAGAGTCTCAGTAGCCACTTAGTCCTTAGTGCTTGTTATGCTGTGTTAGTTACCAGCTTCTTGACAAACAGTGAACTCCATAAGAGTAACAGCTCTGGGGCTGGAGAGATGGCTCAGAGGTTAAGAGCATTGCCTGCTCTTCCAAAGGTCCTGAGTTCAATTCCCAGCAACCACATGGTGGCTCACAACCATCTGTAATGAGGTCTGGTGCCCTCTTCTGGCCTGCAGACATACACACAGACAAACTATTGTATACATAATAAATAAATAAATATTAAAAAAAAGAGTAACAGCTCTGTCTTCCTCAATCGCCACTGTTTTCCTCTGTATTAAAGGAAGAAGTATCAATAAATCCTTTAGATGGACTAGTGTGGTGCCCATGAGGAGCCTAGCTTCTGAGACCAGGTCTCCTGTAACATGATGGGGGAAGGGGGACTGTTCTACTTGGTTTGCTGTCAGAGAAATGAATTGTACTTACCAGCATCTCCCAGCCTCTCTTTCTACTCATGAGCACCTTTCAAGTGAATAGAATTGATTTCAAAGCCACGCCTTCCGCCTTTGAATTTGAGTCGCTGTTTTCTCTACATGATGCTAATACATTTTCTTTCTCTATCTGGATTTCATCCTCTTTCTCATTGGTAGTGTCCCATCAGCTTGTATGGGATTAAAACGACTCCCTTTGTCCCTGGTATAAGAAATAGTCAGTGAGGTTCACAAGTAACAAGACACAGCGACATGCAGTCTCCATCATTTGCTGACACTGTCCCTGTGACCCAGCTAGTCTCAGAGCGTGAGTCAGGGCTGCGGCTGAGCCCTGTGCAAGGGGATGACACCTGGACAGACCCCCCAGTGCCACCTTCTCTGTTTGCAAGTACCTCCTACAATCCACTTCTGCTCTCACGCCTCTCGGCTAATGGGAGTTCCATACCCAGGGAATTTGTCATCCTGGGTCCGCCTCTCTAATGTGGAAATACACAGTGGATGTGTTCCTCAGTAATTCTCTGGTAGAATGTGCTGGAACGCCTAGATTAGTAGTAGTCAAGTTTCAGCTGATGCCTTTGGTTACATGATTGTTTAAAATGAGCAGGGTGTAATATGTCGGAAATGGCCTTCTGTCTTGATTGAGAAATTGTGCATTAGAACAGTTGAGCAGGCTCTCAGGTCACTACAGTGCTGTGTGCCAGCTTCACAACCCCAGGGCAAACCAGTTAGTATCTCAACCTGTGGCCTCCTCTGTAAAATACAGGAGTTACGATAAAATGGTAAAAAAATATATTTTACTTTTTGCCCTACACTGGCTTATGGTGCCATAGCTAACCCAGTAGATACTCAGCGAACATGGAGACGGTGGGTGGAATTATCCCTACACGCCTCACTTAAGCAGTGTCTTAGCCATGGTTCTACTGCTGTGAGACGCCAAGGCCACGGCGACCCTTAGAAAAGAAAGCCTTTCAATTGGGGCTCACGACTCTAGAGGATAGGAGAGTCCATGACCATTGTGGCAGGAAGCAGACAGGCGTGGAGCTGGGTAGCAGCTGCGAGCTTTGCATCTTGAACCACAGGCTGCAGGTGGAGTGAGACACTCAAAGCCCAGCCCCCAGTGACACACCCACCTCCAACAAGGCCACGCCCCCAATCCTTCCCGAACAGCTCACCACCTAGGGGCTGACCCTGCAAACATTTGAGCCCACGGGGCCATTCTCATTCAAACCGCCTCAGACATCAGCAGCACGTTCCAGACACAATCCCCTGTTGGTGTTACAACTTCTGTCCCTTCTCTCCTGCAGTGTGGCATTTGTAAAGGACAGCTTGGAGACACAGTGAGTGGGACGGATGTGAGGATTCGCAACGGTCTCCTAAACTGTACTGACTGCTACATGCGATCCAGAAGTGAGTACGGAGAGACTGTCTCCCCGGGCTCTCACCCTTCTCGTGTGCGATTCCGTTATTTTCTGCCTCCAGTTGGCACTCCTACCCCTGGGAAGAGGATTTTTAGGATGGAGGTCAAAGGAACTGAGAGGCCAGGAAGCAGATGCTCCTCGCAGGATGTTCCTGCTGGGGGAGCAAATGAGCCTTACCCAGGAGTGTGCCAGAACACAGACAGGTAGCACTGTAGGTCGGGTTTGAGAGACCCGCCTGAGCTCACTGCAGGGACCCTGCTGAGGCAGAAGAAAGGTTAGGGTCTGCAGCCGTCTCTTGGTCCAGCCTGTCTGCATAGGCCAGCAGCTGCTGGAAGCCGAGGAATGCGGAATGGCTGTCAGGGTGGGATAGGTGAGTGCCCAGTCTGCAGTGGCAGAGCCCTTCAGGAGTTTCATTACAGAACACGATTTTGTTCTTAAGCAAACTTAGAGGTTCATTGAAAGACAGAATGATGACTCCTGCTTCTCTGACCCCGCCCGCTTCCATATCTTTGCTTACAATAAGCTTTTAAAAACTTGCTGGCTGTGGGGACTTGGTAGGTTTCTGAATCAAGAAAGTGTGTGTTCTACTTGGAGCCACCAGGGGGCGATGCTGTCTAACTGTTCAGACAGTTGGAACCTTGCTTGCGGCTTGCTGGCCCAGTCCTCCTTAAATGGAGACCAGAACAACAGGAGATCTTTTGACGTGTAAATTTAACAGTTACACTGAAGAAATGGCATCCGAAATTCAAAAATATTTTTTTGTCAAAGTAAGTGAAGAATTATATCACTGGCTTCTAGATTGGAGGATAAGAGTAAATTGTTTTCATTTTATAGATACAGATTGAGTGCTTTAGGGAATACAGAGGAGTATGTGCTTGTTAATAAAATGAGGTGCCAGGCGGTGGTGGTGCACCCCTTTATTCCCAGCACTCGGGAGGCAGAAGCAGGCGGATCTCAGTGAGCTCGAGGCCAGCCTGGTCTATCAAGTGAGTTCCAGGACAGCCAGGGCCACACAGAGAAACCCTGTTTTGAATGAATGAATGAATGAATGAATGAATGAATAAAAACACAAGTGAAGTGAGGCAAGTTCCAGTGCAGGTTGTTTGGGTCTGTGAGAAACCTTGAAATCACACAGCTCCAGCTTCAGTCCCAGAAGGGGGCACTGTTGGAATGAGTGACAGTTGAGGCAGCACTGAGGATCTGAATTTCTTTTGTAACTTAGCACGCTCTAAAGATGCCAGCAAGCCTGAACCTGCCTCTGGGTGGCAGTGACTGTTTTTCATCCAGACTTCTCTGGTTGGGATGGTTTGTTGTCACATCCTTTGAAATTAGGCTAGGAACTTGGGTTGCTCATGCAAATACAAAGGGCATTAACTGTTTTTAATTCTGACTAAAGATAAGAGCCAGAGAAGTCCTAAGCAGGTAGACTACACATGAGATAATTTTCTATTTATGATAGTTTTTTCCCCTTTTATTAGCTCATATTCATTGTACCAAATGCTGGAGTTTTTTTAAAATGCCAGTTTCATATGTGTGGATTCTGTATGTTCATCATCTTCATACACACACACACACACACAGAGAGAGAGAGAGAGAGAGAGTTATCCTAAAGTCTCGTTCAGTTTGTACGTGTGTGATTCTCAGGAATGTATTTGAGATAAAAATTGGACAGAAGTGAGGTAATTTTGCCGACTGTGTGAATGCTACTCAATGATCATTTCCTCTGACTAATAGGAAGTGCTGGCTTTCTCATGGATTCTGTGTGTTTGAATCTGCTTCTGGATGTGATTATACTTACAATGTGCTTATTTTCCATTGCCAAGTAGTTTTAATTGTTGTAGCTTCCTAATATGTTTTAAGGTCGGCTAGTAATAGTCACACACATTCCAGTTTCTTTCCTTTTTTCCTCCAAAACTTTCTGAACTCTTTGCCATGATTGTTTTTTCAGACAAATGTTTGTATCATTTTAGGATAATTGTAATTAAGTGAACACATAACAAGGAGAATGACCAGGGTATATAAGAGTCTCTCTCTCTGTCTCTCTCTCTCTCTCTCTCTCTCTCTGTCTCTCTCTCTCTATCTCTCTGTCTCTCTCTCTCTTTCTCTCTCTCTCTATCTGTCTCTCCTCTCTCTCTGTCTTAAATAAACGTACTCAGGAATGATGTGGTTGGCAGGGTAGGAATTATTTAGCTGGAGAACTATAAATAAACTTGACAGGTTGACGGTGTCCCCAGATGTAAGTGGCAGTGGAGGAAGTTGGCTGGCAGTGGTTTTTCTTCTTTTTTAAAATACTGCTTTGAATTGAGAAGAAGGGAGATGGATTGATGGAAAGTATGGTTTGCGTCAGAGGCATTCCAGAGAGGCAGAAACCACTTCATTCTGTGGAATGATAAAACCTGACTACTTAATCCTGTTCCCTCCGAGTAACTAGTCACATGTAAATGAACTTTTTTCCCCGTTGGAGGGAACATGGCATAAAGCATATTCAAATGCGGTTCCTAAGAGCCACATAAGGAGTTTTTAAGTCCGTGTGTAAATGGGAATGGAAGTGCAAAGCAAATTACCCGTCATGATTGAAGCCCTCGCATGTTTAACTGGTGCCATTTGTGCGTGTGCCCTGGACGGCCGCTGCGCATGGCATTCTGTTCCAGCATTCACTCTGGTGAGGTAAATGCACTTAGCACTAACTCCCCCGGGTCTTCTCCAATATGTTCACCTCATCGTGACTGGTGTGCCTAAAATGAAGAAGAAACCTTGTGAAAGCTTCAACAAGAACTTGAAATTTAACCTTTCCTAGAGTGCATGACCAGAACAAATACAAGATACTCAATGAAGTGTTTGAAATTTGAATTTCACATAAAGCCATGATTTTTTTGTTGTTGTTTTGGGATTGACGGGAGGAGGGTATATGTTTGTTTCTTTTTTCTTTTTTTTTTTGGTATGTGTGTTTGCAATTTCAAATGCATTTGGGAAGCTAGGAGTGGTGACCTTGGTTGTCATTCTTTAGATGTAGTCCACTCTGTGTCTATCTGTCTATCTGTCTGAGCCTGAAACTCAAGTTGACTAGACTGCCTGGCCAGCAAGCCCCAGGAATCTAGCGGTCCTAGCCTCTCTAGTCCTGAAATTACAAGTGTGTGCCATTGTCAAAAGCTTATGGCCCTGTGTTCTCAGGATCCGATTGTGCTATCTCCTGTGCCCCATTCTGTATGGTGGGTACGGCGATTGGATTGGCTTGGGTTGCGATAGTCAGACTCGCACCCGAGCATAGACTGACCTCAGCATCACTGTATAACTAAGACCAGACGTGGACTCCGCTTCTCCTGTGCTGAGATGCCAGGCATGCACGGGCACACCCAGCTAAACAAATAGCTTTTCACATTTGCAATTTTCTCAGTATATATGTGTTCCAAATAGTGCATGATCCAGATTTAGCACAAGTGTGTCCCAGATATCACATGGGATATACTTACATGTTTAAAGTGTGTATTTATCTGGAAGTCAGATTTATTAGGTGTTCTGTATTTTACCTGTTCAATCTAGAATCTAGCAATCTGGATTTTTAGATCAATTAGATTCCTCCAATTTCAGTGGACTGATTCTTTGACCTAAGACCTTAAGAGAAATTTAAAAAAAAAAAAACAACTTCTTGCTTGTGGACAAATTAGAAAGCTTGATGGGGGCAGGCAAGGTCATTTGGTTTCGGGGAAATCTGGAATTCTTATGCCAGGCGTGAAGCATAGACACCACCCTCACACCTGGCTGTGTGGGCCTGAGGCGCTCCCAACCCTATATTCTAACAAAGTCCTGAGTGATGCCACATGCCATGCCTAGAGGTGATGCTGAAAGCCATGAGGTGGACCATGACTCCCCTTCCTGTGGGAAGATGGCTTAGCACCAAGGTGGACCACGATTCCTTTCCTGCGGAAGGAAAGTGTAGCACCAAGGTGGGTTATGACCCCCTTTCCTTTGGAAGGAGAGCATAGAAGTAAGGTGAGCTATGACTCCCCTTCCCATTGGCAAGGGTAACCGCTAACCTGAGGGTTTTGAAGCATGCGGAATGAGACTCATTGAGTAACCCAAGGTTCTGGTTTTCTCACCACAGGTGCCGGCCAACCTACAACACTGTGACAGGGTTGAGCGCTTCTGGATCACCGAACATTTCTTTATTAAGGGTGTCTGGCAATGGCTTAATTAAACCCCAAGTTCAGGGGCTTCTCAGCATTCATCTAATTCTGGAAGACTCTTCTGCAAGGTGGTATCTGCTCTTTTGTATTGTAGCACAGTGTGCTTTTTCTGGTTGGGGCCTGATTTTTTTTTTTTGCATTTGCACAGTATATACAAAAGAATATTGCGTTGTAATGATTCTGAACAGTTAATGGGTGGGGGGGAGACAAATGGTTTCAGCACAAGCAGAAAGGCTTATGGTTGAGAAGGTGTTGTTCTCTTCTTTGGGGAATAGCTGTTATTCTCTTCTTTGGGAAATAGCAAAAGGGTGCAATAAACCTGTTGTGTTTTAGTATTTCTAGAAATTAAACACGTTATGTTTACAGAATTGAGCTGCAGGAAGTGCAAGACATGCCAACTTAAGACAGGAGCATAAAGTGAATGCATTTCAGAAAATCTAGACACCCCAGAAAGCTCTGACTCGGAACTATAACTTGTTTTTTAATGCAAAGACAGTAGTCTGATAATATATACTGTACTCCTGAAAACATCTGTGTTACTTACCTTTGGGGGGGGCAGATGTCCTACCAATAATTTATCACACTGTTAGTATTAGATTTTGTGTACCCTGGATGTCGTGTCATTAATATAGGCTGATCCCCCAAATGAAGAAAGCCCTTGCAGTATCACTAGACTTCCACTCTGTGATGTTGTGCAAGGGTAGGGAGGAAACTGGCCAGCCATTATCTTCAGACTTACTATAAAATCCATGAGGAAGTGTCATCTGTCCGGATGGTATGTCAGTGGTAGCCTTAAGGCTTGGGCCACCTGCTTTCTCCAAGCACTGGGTTAGGGGTTGTTGAGCGGCTTGATGTGAAGATGTGAGTGTAGGCACCCAGGACAGTCTGTCTTTAGGGGTGAGTACGTCTCATCTTTTGCCTACAAGTTTTCCTTGGGGGTGGAAGCCCGGGGACCCAGAGAGAAGCATTAAGTCCATCCTCACGGACCCCGGATGGCATAATGAGACAAGCCCACAACTGGTCTGTACGGGCAGCCGCCCAAGGCAGACGGTGCCCTGCCTACCCCCATGGACCTGTGTGCACCTTCCTTCTCCCACACGGCCTTCTTGACTCTCAAGAATTCTGCACCTGACCCATGGAGTTTTGAAAGCGACGCCTGCGGAGACCTGGTTTGTTCTCTGCCCCCTGTGAGGAATTCCAGCTGGACACGGCAGGAATGAAGCGGCTAAACCAGCGCGACTTGGCTCTCCAGGCTAAGGACTGGGCAAAGGGGAACTGTTTATTCTGCCTTAAAAGGATGGCAACTGAGTAAAGACAATGACGTTAGGCGGATGTAGACCGTGGATACACCCCTAGACGACGTTAGGCGGATGTAGACCGTGGATACACTCCTAGTAGGCTAATGACGACGTTAGGCGGATGTAGACCGTGGATACACTCCTAGTAGGCTAATGTAGCATAGCGAGAGCGCAAGTAGATGTTTTTCTGTTATGTAAGCAATAATTTTTCTGTGTCTTATGGAGTATGGCTAGCAGTTATTTATTTCTGTGCTAGACGGTTCTTTGCATGTGGGTTCCCTATAGGTGCAGGCATCTCCTGGCCACTGGAGGCATATAGGCCACTTTGCCATTTGGACGAGTTGCTATTGGACTGAAATTCACACATCATTTCATTAAAAATTGTGCCTTAGAAAATGCAAAGCTGTTGCACGTGGTGGTGGGTGGCAGATTCGGAACACCGGAGGGAAATGACGTCACTTCCCAGGTCTCACGACTTCTCTCAGAGGTGTCCGCTGCTTTACAAGAAAAAATAAACAATAAATAAATAAAGATTTTAAAAGACAAATAAAAAAGGAAAAAATTAAAAAGAAAAAAGAAAAAGTTTTGAAAATGTACAGATCAAGTCCAATATTTTGATGAAGCACCTGCATGTTTTATTAACTATTTTAATAATGTGGATGTTTACACTTTGCATGATATTAACAGAGTACTTTACGAGAAACGATGCACAAAACATGTACGATATGGTCATTGGTAAGCGACTTTTATAGAATACTTTTTACATGTGCGAGGCCATCCATTATGTCAGGATCCCATGAGTGCTGCACACTCTTCTGGTTTCACAAAGCCATTTATACATACTTCCTAGCGGGACGCGTTGTACGTGTGTTGCAGCTCGACTGGAGTCAAGAGGAATAAAGCCCCCTCCCACGCGTGGCGCGTGCTTTGCCGTCATGAACACTAGTCACCAGCCTGGAATAATCTCCAACATTCTCTAAATTCTAATTGCCAACCGTTTCTATTTCTATTTGATTTCGATTTCATTTAGTACCGGTTACACGGCAGCTTCGGCAGACTAGCTCTCCTTGTCTGCCAGTGCAGCATAAGAGACTATGATCTATTCCTCTTCAAATAATCTTTGAGATCCCAGGGGGAAAAAATGTACTCTGTTGTGTGAAGCTATGGTGTCAATGTGTTTGTTTAAAAACCAGGCAAGGCAAGCGAGTGATTTATTATTCCTGGGGGACTGTGGCTGTTCTTCCCCCTCAGACCCCACATACTTCCCTCCCGAGGACAAAAACGGTGACTCTGTTTCTCACTAGCAAACTCTCATGACCTTTGTCCTCCTTTCTGTGTAGTGTCATTAACGTGATGCAGATTCTAGTTACCTGTAGGCGGTGTAAGATTCAGCGAGCTGAAACGATCCACCTTCGATGTGAGTCCATCCAGAAGATGTCCCTTTCTGGGTGGGCGACGTCCTGTATCAACTACACTAACTTCCATTTACAATATTTATTCTAAAATGCCTCTGAGAAATAGTTTAAAAAATTAAAAATGAAAAGTTGTCTAAAAATGCAACAGCTTTTATAGTGAATGTACATTTATAAATAAAATACTCAAATCCACTTGGTGTTGCTTTTATTGTTTCTGGAGGGGTGGGGTAATTCTTCTTGGGGCACAGAGTCTTGGCTCTTGGCTCAGGGCTGTGTAGTCAGATGACATCAGAGCTGTGCATCCAAGGTCGTCTGTTTATGAAAAACCAGAGCTACTAGCTGGTGGAAGGGGTTGCTGGGGGGTTGCCTCACAAGGGAAGATTTTTACTCCTTGAAATAGACACAATAACCAGGATAGATCATGCAGGTGCCTGTGGAAGCTTCCAGAAGAAAACAGGTAATGACCATTGGAACAGCACTAACCCACTGAAGTCAGTGTACACCACCCCTTCTCCCCCACTGCCTCCGTGTTCTCCACTCACTGGACACACACTTGGCCTCACTCAGGACCTGGAGACTGGACCAGAGAAGATGCTCTGAGACGGCGACACCCTCCTGGGACTGTCCCCTCTTCCTAAATCTCTCGTGTACTTTGCCTTGCACTCTGTCCCATGTTTGCAGGGAGTGGGAACAACAAGCAAATCCCTTGACACTTTCAAATGCTTTAGGGAGCAGATTTCTACCTGCTATGGCTGCTTGCATGTGGTTCTGCTTTTTGTATTGTTTGGCGGGCAGTTAGTTGTTGCTGCCATTCCCATGTCCTTAGTTACCAGAGTAACGATACAACTGTCAGGGCTGGAAAGGTGGCTCCGCAATTAAGAGCGGGCACTGCAGTGGCAGAGAACCCAAGTTCGCTTCCCAGCAGCCATATTAGACAGCTCAGAGCACTCCAACTCCAGTGCTCGGTTCTGGCTGATCCAGTGCCATCTTCTGGTGTCTGCAAGCACCCACACACACCCTTACACACGTAACTACACAGATGCATGCATTCACACACACACATGTGCACATATACCTTACACACACAAAATAAGTAAATGTTTAAAGAAAAGTTTTTCAACCTAAAATTATGGAACTAAAAATGATTACATATATGTATATCTAATTTTATACATTACATAGGATCTGTGTACAGACACCAAACTTTCTTCTCAAGAAATCAGATGGCAATCTAGAACTGTCTTCTTTTTCCTCTAACGGCTGCTACTAACTTGCTGTGATATGAATAATTTATCGACAATATCATACCAATTACCTACATTTCAGGGTGTTTGGGTCGTGCAGAGAAAGCTAACAGGCTCCTGCATTGCCGGGCCACAATGCTGAGACTTTTGGATAGCCTCCTGGCATGTCCTTCCAGGGTTTGCTGCTGCCTGAGGTCCTGATTAACTGCAGATAGTTTCATATTTGATTGTAACTGGCTTCAAGGGACTTGAGAAACAAACAAGATTTTTTTTTTCCTTTCCTAAATCTGTTTAGCTTTATTTTGACAGCTGTACTATTTCGAGCAGCGTTTTATTTCTAAGATAGCATTTCTGCTATGTTCCAAGATAGCTGTATGTCTCCCCATGTTTTATAGGTTAGAAACTGGGTCTAAGATGTGTCTCAGGTGAGTGTATTCGGGTGGGATGGGGAGAAGGTAGGAGGAGAGGAGGGAGGGGGAACTGGGATTGATACGTAAAATATAAAAGATCATTTAAAAATTAAACATGAAAAAAAGTGAAGAAAATGTGTTTCAGGAAACTCCAATATTTTACAGAATTGTGTAAATTCCTGTTGAGCTGTTCCAGATTCTCAGGATCTGGGGTGCCACTTGCGAGCCAGGAGGAGGGCCCCCGAGCATCGCTAGAACTGGTGGGATTTCATCTGCACCCAGGTGCAAGAACACAGGGAAGGGAGGGTGTGGTTCTTGTGTATGCACCCATGAATGCCTTTTTGAGTCAGTCTTTCCGTGTAGACCAGGCTGGCCTCAAACTTAAGATCCCTCTGCCTTGGCCCCCCGAGTGCTGGGGTTGAAGGTGTGCTCACCCGCGGCACACTTGTCCGACAGTGAATTTATACTAACACGTATTCCGATGGACTCGGCATTCCAGGTGTTCCTTTGTCTTGGGATTTCTATGGCTGTGATAAAACACTATCTACAACAACTTGGCAAGGAGGGGACTTGTTTCAGTTTACAGTTCCACATCACAGTCCAGCATTGAAGGAAATTGGGAGAAACTTTATCAAGTAAGAAAATCACTGAAGGAAGTCAAGGCAGGAACTGAAGCAGAGGCTGTGGAGGAGTGTTCCTGGCTTCTTTAACCTGCTTTTTTTTTTTAACCTGCTTTTTAATGTCATTCAGGACCACCTGTCCAGGGTTGCTACCACCTACAGTAGATTGGGTCCTTCCACATCAACCACTAATTCAGAAATGCCTACAGACTTTCATACAGGCCAATCTCCTGGAGGCATTTTCTCAGCTAAATATCCCTTCTCAGATTTGTCTAGATGTGTGTAAAGTTGGCAAAAGTCAATTAGCAAACCCCTTAAGGCTAGATATTCTTACTCCGGGTTTGGGGGGAACAGCTCTGCTTACGGCAGGCTTCATTCAGCTCCATGGGTGTTTACCACACAAAGGCTGGGCCATGATAGCGTCATCTCCAACCAGAATTCCAATACAGCATTTCCCAACACACACCATCTCTGAACTTCCCTCCCCCATCAATGAGTTTGAAATCACCAGCCCCAAGATGTCCAGCCCCACCTTTGCTCCCTAGCTGGCCCTCCGCTTTCTCAGTTCAACAGCAGCCAGGGCTAGCAGGACAAGGACTCCAAAAGTCCCAACCTTACTTCTTGTTCTCAGTGCTCTTGGATAGAAGATTGCTTTTCGTGGAGTAATGACACTGTGGGTAAAGCTGGTGTTTCTTAGCATCTCCTGGACAGATGATTGTTTCAACATGCTTTGTGGGTTTAGAACATGTTGGCAGAGAGACAGTTGTCAGAACAAGCCCTCAGAGGCTCCTATGGACACGCAGCTCTGTCTTTGGAGCCCATGGCTATAGTCCCCTCTTTAATTGGCTGAGGGGGAAGTATCACTGGAGGGCAGGGCTTGAAGCTCAGTCTGGGCACCTTGGCAAGACTCTGGCTGAAATGGGGAGAGAGACCCCATCATGTGGAACACCGCACTTGCTCTCTGCACAGATACGGAATCAGTTACCACCCATGCTCCCATCTGGGAGCAGGTGGCTATTCCTCCTGACTCTGAACAAAAGTAATCATAAGTGATCCTGCTTTCCAACACCAAGAATCCGGAAGCTTAGTCTTTTCTGTGGTACAGCACTCTAGGAACCAAATGGAGTGCTTGGTAACAGAAGGGATGCCTCTCCTGATATGGTCCATAAACGTTTGACAAAATGGGGATGGGGGGAGAGATGGTCTTACTGAAGAGTAAAGTAGCTAAGAAGATAACAGTAGACAAAATATGGATGGAGAGGCATTACCAAACTAACTATATTTAATGTGGCAAAGAATAAAGGTCAAAGACACCCAGATAACCAGCATTTTAGAGTACTATAATCTTCATGAATCAGTGCCACACAAGGAATAGTTGATTAATGTCATCTCTTCTACAATAATATCAACTCCGCACAGGTCAACCCCCAAATGCTTTTTAAAACTCAAAATAAGAATGAAAGGTTTAAATATGTTTAAACACAAACTTTGGAGAAACTTAAGTAAACTCTTAAAACTAATAATAAACTAGAGGAATATATTTCCAGGAAATATGACAGAAAATCGCTATCAGTAATACGGAGGCATAAGTTAAATTTTTGAAAGTCCCATAAATACAAATGGGCAATAGACATAAAAACAATCCTCGGCATTTTTAGTGACCAAAGCAAGCACAAATTCAAGTAACAGCTAAGGGGCTAGGGAGACGGCTCCGCATTGAAAGCACTGGCTGCTCTTGCAGAGACTTGAATTCTGTTCCCACCATACACACAGTGGTGTTTAGCCGTCCATGACTCCAGTTACAGAGGATCCAACACTCTCTTCTGGCTTCTGGGGGCACCAGCCATGCAAGGGGTGAACAGACATGCATACAGGTAAAACACACACATATAAATAAATATTTTTTAAACAGTTAAGACAAAATCTCCCCAAATAGGGAATCATTTACTCTATTAAGAACTTACATATTGCACAATGAAAGCAGAAAACCAAGGCGGCAAACAAGATATTTGTTGCACATAGAGTTAGCAAAGATTTAGAATAAAACATATCAAGAATTCTAATATAACAACTAGATATAAAGAAGCTTAAAATATCCATTAAAAGCGTAAACCATTAATCGAAAAAGACTGAAGGCTGGGTGTTTCATAGAAAATATGGATCATGGCCAGACAGTAGTGGTACATGCCTTTAATCCCAGCACTTGGGAGGCAGAGGCAGGTGAGTTTGAGGCCAGCCTGGTCTACAAAGCAAGTTCCAGGACAGCCAGGGCTAAACAGAGAAACCCTGTCTTGAAAAACAAAAACAAAATATGAATCACAGAACAGACACACTTATTTTGTTGCTAGAAAGGAAATGCAAATTATAACCAGTAGAAGGTTCATTTTATTCCTTTTTTATTGTTTAATGGTGCTGGGCATTGAACCCCTGGCTCTGAGCATGGCGGGCAATCACACCACTACTGAGCCACATCACCAACCACAGTGCCATTTTATCCCCGTCAGACTGTGGAGAACTCAGGCTTTGCTGGAGCCAGATGTGAATGAGGAGCAAAAGAACAGAAGCTCACTGCTGGCAAGAATGTGTATCGGCAGCCAGTCATGGCGGCGCACACCTTCAATGCCAGCACCCAGGAGGCAGAGGCAGGTGATTCTCCATGAGCTGAGGTCACAGAGTCCTAGGACAGCCAGGGCTACATATTGAGACCCTGTCCATTTGGCAGATAATCTGATGGCATTGATTGACACAAAGATTTCTCTTCTGGAACCATGCCTAAGCCTACACTCAAGAGAAGCTTAAGTAGCAGCCACACATGGTCCAGGACACATGTTCAATAATGTTCTCATAGCACACTACTTGTATATAATTATGAGGAAAACATTAGGAAAATCAAGTGAAGATCAGATCACACATATTCA